CAGACACCGAAATGTGTTTAGAAACCCAAATGCCTACAGACACTGAAATGTCTCAAGACACCCCAATGTCTACCTTCCAGCTTAACATCAAATGATAACTAGCATCTCCATACCCACTGTCCCCATGTGGCTTCATGGGCCATATAGTGGAGAGAGAAAAACAGAAAGAATAAAACAGGCATAAGTTGCAATGCAACTGCTCACTATTGCCACCTGAATGAGAAAAGATAAACTGACAGGATATGCCAGCAGTGACAGGATATGCCAGCAGTGACAGGATATGCCAGCAGTGACAGTATATGCCAGCAGTGACAGTATATGCCAGCAGTGACAGGATATGCCAGCAGTGACAGGATATGCCAGCAGTGACAGTATATGCCAGCAGTGACAGTATATGCCAGCAGTGACAGTATACGCCAGCAGTGACAGTATACGCCAGCAGTGACAGTATATGACAGCAGTGACAGTATATGCCAGCAGTGACAGTATATGCCAGCAGTGACAGTATATGACAGCAGCGACAGTATATGCCAGCAGTGACAGGATATGCCAGCAGTGACAGGATATGCCCTCTGCCTCGAAGAGGCCCAACCCAAATTACTGGAGGTCCTTCTCAAATGTCCTGTGGAGCCAGGGGACGTGAGAATAGAGCATCTGGCCGAACTAAGAAAGGAGTCAAAATTAATTGCTACTGGAATGCTAGAGGGGGTTACAAATAAAAAGCTAGAGTTAGAAAAATATTCTAAATGCAGGTAACAGATTCTATATATGCTGTCTACAGGAAACCCAACCCACCTCACTGAAGAGCACGGTCTTCAAAATCGAGGTTATCAGTGCTTCCGATCAGGACCGGAAAGTCATGGAAGAAGGGTGGAATATTGACTCTTTTGTTTTTGTGAGGGCAATATCACTTGGGATCCCTGCTAACCAACCTAAAGTATTTATGGATGGAGCGGAATATCAGATTCTGAAACTACAACTGGAAAATGCAGACTTCTACCCTGATCAATTATTACTGCCCAAATGAAATCGTCCCCGGCTTTAATACACCAATCTCAGTGGAATAAGGAAGGATTGATTCTATGTGTGTGATTTTAACAGCAACACACAAGGCTGGGGATATGACCATAATAGACACTAGAAGTATAGAGAGAACACTGGAGAGGTGGCAGGACTGGATGAGCACGATTTAGTTGATTATATATAGGCCAACTGCTCCGACCCAAACCATTCTAAACTTCGGGTCGTGGCAACACACTGACTGAGCGACCCCAGACACATAGCATGTTCACAGCTCTCGCAGATCTGTGGAATGAGAAACTTCAACTAGTTTGTATTGGAAATCAAACTGCGATGGCAGTGAGACCATCTACGGGAGAAGGTCTTCTGATTGTAAAATATGATAAGGTCAGCAGAAACTAGTAGCTGGCCACATAGGGTGGAATGGAGCGGTACATCGAAGGCTGACATGACAATGTTCAAGAGCACCGTACCAGGTAATACTGCTTGAAAAGTGCTCAGCGTTAGACCAGGAATATAACAAGTGTAGTGTGAAAACGGATTTAACAAGTTGAGTACTAAAGGGAGCCGGGATCATCATCACCAGAGGTGCCCAGGTGCAGGCATTATAAGCCTTACTAAGGAGTAATAGAGCCTAGAACATTTACATAACTGATATTCACTAAACATCCATAAAGATTAGCAGGACCATGCCAACAAAGACATCTAGCCCCCCCATTCACAATAAATCGGAAGGCATGCAAAAGACAAATTTGTAAGGGCGAAAGCTGCGAGTTAGGAAGGGGAAAGTGCGTGGCAGGAGAAAAAAAAAAACCAGGTTCATGCTGTAACATTTGCACAAAAAGACCACCGAAGAGAGTATATAGGGACTTTGTGAAACCAAAATTAATGATGAAAGACAGCGGGTGGATTCTCTTAGATGCTCACGCTGCAGAACAGATGAACAATTGTTCACCAGGAACACTAGTCAGCAACAAGCAGATTTTGCTGACAGACTTTTGCTTTAGATAACGACATTGAATCAGTTGTTCAGAGAAAAAACGAACACGAAATTCAAGCAAGAAAAGAAACAATTGGTAGAAGCAAGAAAGAAGTAAACCATCGAAGAGTCTCTAGGAGTTTCGCAAATTATCACTTAGATAGTAACTGGAGGTTGGTCATATTGCAAATGCTGAGAATGCCGGGAGTCACGCAAGAGCAGATTGTTGTAGATGCAAACGATGATGAATGACGGAACCTTAGGAGGAATAGTAGACCAAAGCGAATCTTTTACAGATAGTTTATGCTTGGCTTGGGCGACAGGGGACATATTATCCAACATCTGGAGTATCTGAGAGAGGCATATTAGGATAGCCACGGTCCATAAAAGAAGCCTGAGGGAAATGACATGGTTCGAATGGCTATGCAACTACAGACCGAATCAAGGACCTCACCAAGTGTGGTACTCTGTAACGAACAAGTGGTAGCTCGATGCAGACCCACCATCAGACTCTGCCGACTACAGTTGTAGGCATGAAAGTGAAAGCCATCCTTGCACCACAGCATGGCTGGCGTTTTAGAAACTGAATTCTAGTTTTCACATAGCGTAAAGAGCGCAGACACAAGAACGCTCTACCCGAAGAAATATGAGGGATGCTTTTCAGCATCATGGAACTGGGGACTGGGAAGATGAACTACCATGCGGCAAGTTGATAGATTTAGGGAAAAGCTTGGTTGAGGTAATGTGTTGGACAGGGATAGGGGCTTTGTGAAGAAATTGAGAAGACACCTAATAGAAAATAATGGTGAAAAATGATGACCTTTAGTATTAAAGCCTATCTACATAACAGTAGATCACCGGTGTACAGGTGTAGAGTGGTTTTGTCAAAGTAAAAAGTTGCTTTACTGTGCGACGAGAAAGATCGTCCCTGCAAGGTGGTGTGTCTGGATTCGCGCCCCATTTTCCTTTATAGTTTACAATGCAACGATCTGGTTGCCGGAGATAGCCAATGGGAGATCAAATTTGGCGAGATGGTGGGGACCGAGCCGACGGCCTGTGTACCTGGTGGTGCAGCCTAAATGTAACCATTGCAACGATAGCCCACAAACAAACACCTACAAGCACGGGGCTGAACAAGTGCACTGCGAATTGAGGCATGGCCAAGATAGATGGTGTGTGTCGCATCTAGTCACACAGACAAGTGGACAGCAGACACGAATTCCGAACCTCGATCCCAAGCAAAAGGTGCGAGCCTGGGCATCATCAAAATAATACGATCAATACCGCGTGATAGATGATCAAAGAGCCCACATAGCCTGATGGAGTCACCCAGTGATGAGCGGTTGGACAATGGAACGAAAACATGTACAAGCAGATGGCAATCCACCAAAGCGCCAAGGAGCGTAAGACACAGCAATTACTAAGAAAACTAAGTGGGAACCACGATGCTGGGGAGCAGATGGGGAGAATCCTCGAATCTCGTATACAAGGCATATGCATACCTTCAATCACAAGCTTGGAATATGGGTTCTCCAACTGCATGTAGTGTTACAGCATCGTGATGTAAGTTAGACATTAATTAAGTAGACATGGAATATGCAAAAATCATAGCAGAATCAGACTGTCATCGACAGGAGAAGGGATAGAAAATCAAGGAAGCGCCCATATTGAAGAAATGAGGAGAAAGCGGGGAAGACACAGTGCGACTAGGAGAGACGCAGGAGGGTACAAATTTGCAAAATACAGCTGAGAAAGTTCCTCATTAAGTATTGACCATACTCACGCCGAGGTGGGAATACATAGATTAAGGAACCTAGCCTTGGGACGGTTAAAAAGAAGCAGCTTTTCTACACCAGGCAAAAAGAATGATGTAGACAAACCTCCTGACCTTCCAGAAATTGGCTGACCATTGAAAAAAGTATAAAAACTTGAAGCACTCCAGTCTAGGAACCAGCAAAACAGATGTACGCAGTCAATGCATGGATACCGTCCATTGTGGAAAGAAAAAGAATCAACTGGCATTAAATCGAGCCAGATCAGGAAACCACCAAAGAGAAAAAGAATCATTAGCCCACCAGCCCCAGCACAAGACGACTATTTTATTATGGACAGACAGAACAAGTCATTATCTTCCGCCTCAGAAACAGGGCACAACCGATTACGTAACCACATGTACACAAAATTCAAGATAGGTGTATCAGCCATGTGCACCTGTGGAAATGTGCCCCAGACCGCAGAGCATGTACTCCAGGACTGCACCGAATTTGACACATTAAGGCAAACCTTTTGGCCAGAAAGAACAACAGTGGAACGTAAACTCTATGGACCACTGAATGAACTAACAACAACAGTGAAATTTATACAAGAGACAAAACTGCTGATATAGATAACTTATTTCAGGCGAACGAAAGAAGAAGAAGAAGCCAGCAGTGACAGGATATGCCAGCAGTGACAGGATATGCCAGCAATGACAGGATATGCCAGCAGTGACAGGATATGCCAGCAGTGACAGGATATGACAGCAGTGACAGGATATGCCAGCAGTGACAGGATATGACAGCAGTGGCAGGATATGCCAGCAAACCTAGAGAAACAGTCAATAATCTTAGAGACACTTTATAATCTTGGAGACACTATTGATAATCTTAGAAATGTGGTTGATAACCTTATAGAACTCATATAAATTGTTGATTATCTCTTGGACAGTACCCCCTCACACCCCCCCCCCCCCCCCCCCCCCCCACACACACACAAAAGGACAGAGGGAGGGAAGAATATATAATAAGTACAAGGAAGGATAAGTGGGAATTCCCATTTACAAACGGGCACTATCCTGTAAATCATACTTCACCTCGACATCACAAGGTACCAGAGGATCAGGATGAGATGAGAGAAGACAAGAAATCATTCAGCGATGCAATATGGCCTGCTCTGAACTCAATAAAGAATAAACTGTATGGTACACATGGAGATCTGGGCTGCACGACAGAGCTTATAAAGGCTACTGGCCTCCTGATATAAGTTTTCTGACAGAAGGACCGAAGAAGAAGCAAGGGAGGCAGAGATATGGATAAGAACACACAAGAGATGACAAATAATGTTTATAAAAAACTATAATCTGACAGTTATAAAGCAGCAACTTACTAGTGACAATAAACTGCTGGCCAGTGTGTGCTTGAGCCGGCTGGATGATTGTGGTAGTCTTCTGTCCCTGCTGGCCTCCACCTTGAGCGTTGGCTGCAGATGTTTTCACTACAGTTCCATTCTGCAAGCACGGCATAGGAAATTTTGTAAGCTAAGTTTGGCTGATAAATAAGCACAGTGAAATTATATCTTCAGTTCATTCAGATAGTGGGTTATATGAAAGGAGAGGAGTGGCAAGGGTGAAAGAAACATTTTAAAAACAAGAAAGACAGGGGGAGCTAGGCAGACTGAGGATCAAAGATAGATTATAGACAGAAAAAAAAGGGGGTGGGTGGGAAGAGAGGTCGCGGAAAGACAAGGAAAAACAATCTGATCTTACTACCCAGACACTAGGGAAAATTACTAGAAGTCCACGTGAAAAATCCCACCCTTCACCGGGATTTGAACCCAGGACTCCAGCACTCAAGGGGGATGCCATACCTCAAGACCACTCAGCCTCCCAGAAATTTTTTGGGTGTTGAGTTGTGTGTGCATATTCAGTTTTACAGATCCGGCTTACATATATGCAGACAGCTGGTTGCTCGCCTCTCAGATTGATACACTCCGACTTTGAATTAATCAGTTGAATTTTATGATACGTTTGTTTGGGAGCTGTAGGTCTACTGTTTCCTGTCCCCACAATGAGGCCCATACAGGTAACAATTTTTGACAATCAAGAATGGCTTTACCTGCACAGCAGTCGAATTCATCACTTGCAAATCCGTGACATATGTCTGTGTCGCCATCTATGTGGCATTAAAGAGACAATTATATCTGTAAATAAAAAAGCATACAAGAATTAACAATCATTTTTATGTCCGATACCTATACAAACATGTTTGTGATAGTCTATTAGCATTTGTTTCTTGGTTGAAATAAAATTTGTTAAAGGAAATATTTAATGCCTAATTCTACCAATAACTTAGATTGAGGACTACATGTGTCAGACAGTCACAAAGAAGACATCACTGCAGTCAATTTATTAAAGAACAGAGTTGAGACCCCCCCCCCCCCCCCCCAAAAAAAAAAAATTACATCCACTTAAGCATGTTAATAATTGCTCTATTCACATCTTCAGCAGCCAGTTTCAATACTAATGTTGCTGGTTGAAGTTTAATTATTGGGTTTGCCTGTAGGAGAGTTAATCAACTGGCAGCCCGAGGTCTAATCCGGCCAGCAGAGGTCTAGTAAGTGGCCCGAGGATCACTGCCAATGGTCTTGTATTTTTGGCCTTTCCTTTATTGAGGCCCAGGCCTCTGACGATCCCCAATTTCAACTCTCTGACCCAAGAGTAAGAGTAGTTGAATAACCCTGGTCTATAACAAAGAATTAGGATATATAATCTCTGTCATCAAGTAACAAGAGGATTTGTCCACTTTGATGTGTCCATGGGGACAATGAGGTGTTATCTTCTCTTCCTCCAGTTCTCTCATCGACATCGGGAGGTGTAAGGCTCTTCTGTCAGCTTTTTCTAATGTACTGTGTATAAGTTCATCTTCATTTCTTCACGTCCGTTTCTGATGACTTAATTCCAGTTTTTTTTCCATGGTCTTCCCACAGCTCGGTGTTCATTATATTTCTTCTGAGTGTGGGCTCTGTGGCCCCATATGGGGGAAAACAAAAACACTGCCTCCCCAACAAGCACGTCATAAAAGTCAACCAACTGGGGGTTTCCTTTGAAGTCGGAGTGCTTCTGTCTGAGAGGCAAGAAAATAATAGTCTGCATACAAATAAGTCAGACCAGTAAAATGAATGCGTACACAACACTCTAGTTCTAGAACAAGTCTAAAGTCCAGAGGTGGATAAACAACCAGAACATTCCGCTGGAGTTTACAGCTAGTGAAAGTAAAGAAGAAGAAAAAGATTTATTTCCTCAGCATGGCTCTTTGTGGCTGCTGGTACCAGGGCATACTGGTCAGATGGCCAAACCATCTTCTCTTTGCTCTGAAATGGATGATTGGTGTCAGTCCTAGTCTTCTGATTTCTTATTTTGTAACAGAATCTCTTCCTTTACTCTGGCAACTCTTCTAAGACATCTGATCTCTGTTGCTATGATTCTGCACTCACTAGCTGTTTATAGTCACAGTCTATATCTGACACTGGTGGCATAGTCCATCAATCAGGTGCCATCTCCACAATGTAGGTTGGCTGCAAAGCATTTCCGACACCCTCTGTCTCTTGTCTTGGTTGTACACTGTCTCAGACTGCTGTTTGTACCCCTCTTCATGTTGTCTTCCCATTTGTTTTGCTGCCTACCTCTTGCTCTCGACCTTTTCCTCCAGTATGGTTTTTAAAAGCATGTTATGTCTTTAATTTGGCCAAAATATTTTGATTGTTTCTTCTTATTTCTTTCAGTAATATCTTTTCATTCGTAGTCTTTCCAAAAAGTGGAACACAGTGTGTCAAAAGTGGTATTAGTCATTCTAGATTAGTCATACTAGATTTGCTTTTGCACAACGCATGATGATTTCTCTATCCATTCTACCTTCTGAAATTAAAACTGACCTTAGATATTTCAATTAAATTGTTTCCCTTGTTGAGTCCTGGGGCATTATATTGGGGGGAAGGGGGGGGGGGGGGCAGGGGGAGAGACAGACTCACTTGCCCCCCCCCCCCCCAGCATGTTAAAAATGGCAACTAAATATGGGTTTTTACTTCACTTTGACCATATCACACGCCATACAAGCTTAGAAACAACTCTAAAGGAAGAGCCTGGTTGACCAGTGCTAATGGCAGACAAAGAATATTGGAGATACTTTGAGCAGAGAAATACATGAGCCAGAACTGACAATTAACCAGAGATTTTAAAGCGGGCTGTGACGGCAAGTAATGTTCTGCATTGGTCCTGCTATAAACCTTGTCAACTTTAGCAACAACACCAATGGACTTGTTTACAGTTATGATTATATGTTGGTTCTAGCAACAATCACAAGTGCAATCAGGCATGTCAACATTAATTACTAATCACAAAAGCGATACATGATGTATTCTTATTTGCATTCACTGGCTGTATACATATATGACGTATTTGTGTGCAGACTGTTGGTTCCTTGCCTCTCAGACAAAAGCAGTCCATCTTCAAAGGAATCACTGCTAATAAATTAGTAGCCTTTTAATTTTATCACATGACTGATAGGGGGCCGTGGGTCTATTCTGTGCCCCCCCCCCCACACACACACACAACAGGTCCCTGGAACCCACAGGGAGAAGATAGTGAGGTGTGGCAACAAGAGTCAATCTCTACTGCAGTCACAAAACAAAACTTGATTTTATGTCATGACCATTTCTCCCTGTCAAGATGATCTGATTATCTTCACAGAAGGTTCTGTAATGAGAGAGAAGAGAAGTCTTTAGTGCAGGACAGCCTGGCATATGATACCACAACATCTAGAATGAGAATGGAGGTGGAGGCGGTCACTGCAGCTTGCTGGTGGCTAGAGAACAAGATACATAAACATGTCATAATTGTAACAGACTCTGAAAGCATGCTAAAAAAGGTGAAGACAGGATTGCTTCGAGTAGAGTGGCAAGCTTCACTTGCAAGATCACGAGTAGTGAGCATACTTTGGATCTTTTCTCCAGGCAAAGCGGCATGGTGGGGAATAAACAGACAGATTGGCTGGATCTGCACTGCTTGGTGGTGAATTGATACATGACAAGGCAGATGTGATCAGAGCCCTTTGGGAACAAGTAATAAAGTCAGAAGAAACTAGATAATTATGTGCTGGAGAAAATAATACACCTGGGTGTGATCAGAGGGTCTGGCCGCCACACTATGCTCAAAGGAAAGGCAAACAAACATACAACCATACTACAACCGGCACCATTAGTATTGGAACCTTGCGCTGGCTGCTGAGGATGGGGACAGAGCGCATATGGGAATGCCCCGAGTGCTATGATGTCAACTCTTGACTTAACTCCACTCCCGGTCAAGCTCTACTGCAGTCACAGACCAAAACTTGATTTCATATCATGACCATTTCTTCCGGTCAAAATGGCAAAGCAAACATTGTGCATCGCTAATGTGTTCCTTTTTCAGAGATTTTGCTCAAATATGAGATAAATTTGTGTAACAAGAAAAGATACAATAAAGAATAAAGAAATTAGAAGAAGACTAGGACTGAAACAATCACACAATTCATCAAAATGAGATGGTCTGGCTACCTAACGAGAATGCCCTTGTACCAACTGCAATAGAGAGCCACGCTGATGGAATATAATGAACACAGAGCAAGAGGAAGACCATGCAAGAAATGGAGCAACAATCAGGAGCAACCTAACACTCCAAAATGAACACCAACTTGTACAATGCATTGGTCGGAAAAGCCCACATACGATCCTTACACCTCATAACGCTTCGGTGAGGTTAATGGTGGAAGAGAAGAAGAAGACCATTGTTGATTATATCTTTGTTGATATTTCAATTATTATAATTATTTTTAACGTGGCAGCCATTGCTCATACTGTAATAGTAATAGACTCTAGGGTAAAAAAGGACAGAAGTGTTAATGGATTTATTATAACTATCGCACACACACACAAAAGGACAGCACTGTTTATCCATCAACATGGGAAAAATCATAGGTCAAGAGGTTTCCCATGACTGTTTACTAGGCGCCAAGGAACCGTTGTCAGTGGCAGCACGCAGACAAAAACATATGACCTGCTTGTTGTTGTTTGTTGTCACCCGTGTCCACGAGGCGGGGCAAGTAAACAACTGATTAGAAACACCAGCAGCGCTTTTTTTACCCAATATATTTGTAATTTTGTATAGTTTACGCTGTAAAGTGGGCGACGGAATCATTCTGTGCTAACAAACAGGGTAACGCGATACTTCTTTAACGAGATAAGTCGCTGTAGTTAAGCCCTTAGGTTAGTTAGTTTACGTTGTCTTCTCGCATCGGCCATTTGCATCAAACCGACCTTTCGACATTCTCGCTAAACTTCAACATCAAATTAACCCCCACAAGGACACTTCAGCGACAACAGCAGACAGACAAACAGTCATGCGATCACTAGCAATCATGAAGGGGAAAAGTTTGGCATAATTCACCTGATATTTGTTGACAGGAGACAGTCGTCCCAGAGACGGTGGCTATGGCGTTTATTCCTACGGCAACAGTTGCCAGACTCTCGCGTCTGCTTGGTCATATCCTTGCGCCTCACATCCGGGATTCTGGTTGATATTTGCACTGTAATTACATACAATTACCCTAATAAAACATGAGATTATTTTAAATATAAATTTCAATCATAATAATAGTAATTTCTTGTGATTTGTTTATTTTTATTGGGGGAAATGAATACAAATGATATATTTCTTTCGCGGAATGCGCGTTGACATGAGAGCAGGGGTTGACGGTGAGGCCAGGGAAACATGGGGGGAAGCAAGATGGTGGTGGTTCAACTTGGGCTAGCGTGCTTGACAACTGAGGAACGTCTAAATAGGAAAGGCCTTTCTTAGGGGATCTAATCAAGGGTTTCACTCACGTTATCTTCTCCTCTTCTTTGAACGTTAATCATTACTTACTGGTTAACCTGATCTTGTAAAAACCATCTGATAATTGTAATTACTGGCCGTATTTACTGCTTTTTGACTTATCTCGCAACACTCAGATCAAAATTTGCCTATGCCATTTTGAGCGAGTACTGTACTGCTTGCATCTTTATAAAGTGCTTCAATTGCATCTATGATGTTCTTGTCGAAGTTGAAATTGCTCATTATTTGCCAGAGCCCAACATGTCA